CACTATGAACAGAAGAATGTAAACTACCTCATTAAGAATTTCACATATGCCCTGGCCAGGTGGCTCAGTGAGTTGGAGCATTGTCCATACACCAAAGGGTTGTGGGTTTGAGTCCCGGTCAGGGCACATAACCTACGTTGCAGGTTCACTTCCCAGTTGGGACATGTACGGGAGACCTCTGATCAATGTTTCTCTCTCACACTGATGGTTTTGTCTCTCTCTTTCCATTCTTCTCTCTCTCTAAAATCAATAAAAAAATATATCCTCAGGTAAGGATTTAAAAAAAAAAAAGAATTTTATATAGATCATATGTTGGAATGAAAATATATTGAACCTAGTCCTGGCCGGTTTGGCTCAGCGGTTAGAGCGTCGGCCTGCGGTACGGAGAGACCCGGGTTCGGTTCCCGCTAAGGGCACGTACCTCGGTTGCAGTTTGTCCCCAGCTGAGGTTGGGTTGTGCGGGTGGCAACCACTCGATGTGTCCCTTTCACATCGATGTTTCTCTCTCTCTCTCCCCCTCCCACTCTATCTGAACAAAATATGGAAAAATGTCCTCGGGTGAGGATAAAAAAAAAAAAGAAAATATATTGAACCTATAGTGTTAAATAAATATCTTATTAAAATTACTTTCATCTATTTCTTTTTAACTTTAAGTATGGCTTTAGAACACATGTAGCTTGCAGTATGTTTTGACTGGGCACAGCTGGTCCAAAGGATGACTAGACATTAGCGTGGGACCAAAGTGAAAGGAGGGGGGCAGAGACGGTCTGGGCGAGGGTTCTGTGCAGCATGTGCAGAGGTCTTGGGGCCAGAAGGAACATGACATGCTCAAGGAAATAAAAGAAAACCAAAGCCTTGCAGGTCACAGTAACTATTTTGAACGGTATCCTCAGGTCAACAGGAAGTAATTGAGGGTTTTAAATGGGGTGCTCAGTTTTCAGGAAGTTGGCAGTTAATAAATGAGGGCAAGAGAGCTATAGCTGGATAGAGCAAGGCTCTCAGAAGCAAAGCCTCCCTCCCCAACAACAACAACAAAAAAAAGATGGTGGGGTGGAGGTATTTGGTTGGGAAATACCATGGGGAGGGAGCAGGACCCTGCCTGCCCATCACCTGCCCCTGTTCCTGCCCCAGGATAGGAGGCCCAAATACCCGCCACTACAGAGAGAGGCGGACAACAGGGAGATAGTTTGCATTCAGCTCGTTTTCAGCTTGGTTGCGTCTCGGAGCTGAGGGAAGCGTTCCAGGAAGAGTCCAAAGCTGAGGGGGACTTTGATTATAGAGCTGGGACTCTGCAGGGCAATGGCAAAGGGTTTGGTGAAGGAGGGCCAGGAACAAGGAGGCCGAGCACGTATGAGGAGCAGAGGGTCTGTCCTTTGAAAGAGTGTATTATTGGACAATGGGAAGCTTGGGTTAGAGCCTGGAGGCTTGGGACCTGTTTCCTGGGGATGGTGTTCTCCTCGGTCATCTGTGGCCAGGAGGACATTTCCCTTTAAGTCACAGGCCGTACACTAGCAGACCCGATGTAGCCTGCAGATGTTTTAGCTCACATTTTAAAAATGTATTCAAACGAGTCACTAGTATTTATATCAGATATCACATGAAAATGCACATTTACAGGGTTTTTGACAATTGGAAGGTCCAGGAACCCCAGTTCTTCAGTCTCACAGGGAAATGGACTGGAGCTAGGTAGTAGCCATTCCTTGTACTTTATTTTATTTTATTTTTTTCTTTATTGTTTTTAGAGAGAGAGGAAGAGAGAGAGAGAGAGAGAAACGTCGATGAGAGAGGACATCGATTGGCTGCCTCCTGCATGCCCCCCACTGGGGATCGGGCCCACAACCTGGGCCTGTGCCCTGACTAGGAGTCAAACTGGCGACCTCTTGGTGCCTAGGTCAACACTCAACCACTGAGCCACACCGGCTGGGCTCCTTTTATTTTTTTAAATTTTCTTTTTTATCCTCACCCAAGGACATTTTTCTATTTTTTGTTCAGATAGAGCAGGAGGGAGAGAGAGGAAGAGAGAGAGAGAAACATCGACGTGAAAGGGACACATCGAGTGGCTGCCACCCACACAACCCAACCAGGGCTGGACAAACTGCAACCAGGGTACATGCCCTTCACGGGAACCAAACCCGGGTCTCCTGGACCGCAGACCGATGCTCTAACCGCTGAGCCAAACTGGCCAGGGCTCCTTTTATTTTCTATGTAAACTTCTAGGAGCAGAAATGATCATTTTAATTTTTTTAAAGACCTTTATTTATGCTGAAAACAAAATGAATCCTTCTATGGTCTGACTCTCAAGTCTTGCATCCTCGCTGGTCTTTGTTTCAGCAGTCCATCTCCTTTTAGTTCTTCAGGAAAGTTCTAAGAATGGCGCCCTCAGTTCAGCGAGACCAGGCTGTACAGAAGCTTCGTCCATTCACACAGGAGTGGCTTCCATCAGGGAAGCGTGTTCCTGGCAGCTCACCGCCCCCGCCACCCCCGAGCCCGCTCACAGCTCTTCACACGTGTGTCCGGCCACTGGCACGTGTGCGTTTGCAGGTCGTGCCTGCAACTTTAAATCACACTGCCTAGTGTTGTGTCTGTGTTGGTGAACACTGGCTATACCAGCTCCCATGGTGATTAGAATGTTAAAGATCGCCAACTTCAAACCTCAACTGCTCCTTTGTAAATATTTAGCATTAATGAAGTGGGCAAAGGTAGTTGAGGGCAGCAAGGAGGAGAGAGGTTAGAGGACTTTTTGTTTCCCTGAGATAGATGCACTAGCTTGGGATCTTACTCTGTATTCACCCCTGTACACCAGAGTGAGGGGAGGGGCTGTATTTGTATAGTCTGTGGTTGTAGTCCTGTTTCTCTGAGGGGCGGGGGGGGACAGAAAGTGTTTTATTCCTTAAACAAAGTAAGCAAATGCAGGAGATTAAAATACTGCAAGGCTTGGTGGTAGGTGACTGAGTGTTCCTGATGTTATTGCTCCTCTTTTTTTTTTTTTTGTTCCTTTGGTAGAGATCATAACCAAAAGCTGATGGAGAAATGCTTCTGCCTACAAAATGTGTCCATCATATCCTTCTTCATCTGAAGGGAAAAGAGCTCATTAGCTCCAGGAAGCTTCTTGTTTGGCAAAACAAAGCAAGGGCTGAGGCAGAGGAACAGTTGCTAGCTTCACTTTTCTCCATCCCCCTCCTCCACCACCACCAAAAAACAAGACAATAAATGTTATGAGGGGTGGAATCCAGTTTCTGATGGATCTAAAGCTTCTACTACTTGGTGGATTGGGGGCTCTTTAAAGAAACAATACAAAAACACCTTTCTTTTATAAATTACACACACGTGCATACCCGTTCATTCATGTGAATTTATTATTTGGTCTCCCAGTGCCTTAAGGAGTTTGTTCCAGAGAGAGTACCTGAAGTTTAAGCTTCATTAGCTTCATGATTATTCTGCTTCTGGGTACCAGTAATCACCTGGCCGAATACTGCTCTGTTCTGGCACCCTGATGGCCCTCTGGGCTGAGGGTGGAGGTATCACTCTCCCTCCTCCGGAAACGCAGTGAGGGGCCTTCCGCTGAGCCCAGAGCTCGGACTCTTCCAGGGACCTCATGCTTTTCTCCCGGCTCCCCATGCACTACAACTTCAACCCCGGCGCCGGACCAGAAGGGAACTCATGACCCTAACTGCGGGGCACATCACTCGTCTGCTGCCTTCCTCGGGCCCTCTGTGTCTTTCCCTGAAGTCTTCTTTTCCCACCTTCAGAGTCTGTAGGAATTAGAAAGGAAGAAACTAGATCTAGATCCCAATTAACTTTGTCCCTGATGGTTGTATAACTGGCTGGAGCCCAGTTTAAGTGGGACAGAAAATCTCCAGTTAACAGAAGTTGCCAAGAATGGCAGAAGACCAGGTCCGACGTTCGTATAATCTTTGCTCCCCAGTGTGGAAAACGCTGGGTGGGGGTGGAGAGTGCTGGGCACGTCAACCCAGTGGCACTGGGCAGCGAGATAGTCCGCTGCAAGGCGAAGGAAGGCAGGCTGACGCAGCCAGGCAACCCATTCTCTGGGGGACACGTAGGCCCAGCAGGTCTTCAGGTCAGCAGCTTAATTTAGCAAGTCGAACACTTGTTGGTTGCCTGTTCCCCTTGACTAGATTCTTCTGCTGAGATGTGGCCGGTGTGCGTAGGAGAGCTGAAGGGTTGGGAGGAGGAGGCAGGGACTCCTTATCACTGAGCTTCCTCTCCCTCCTCCAGACCTGCTCCTGTTAATCTGTTCCTACAGCCGGTATTTCTCTGCTGCTTCCATTTGATAGCTTGTTTTGCATCCGGATTTATTCCTGCCAACAGCTCTATCTTGAGGCAGGTGGGAGATTATTTAGGTGAGTACCATGTTTGGTATGAATATCGCTTTAAATCACTTTTTAATGTTGTTTGGATGTTGAACCTTAGATTTTCTTGGATGTGGTATAAGCTACGGCATTGAAGAGCTAGTTGCCACCCAGTCAGTGGTTTATATACCAGACAAATGCAGTGGTTCATTGAATTAACATGTTTAATAACGTCTTCAGTCAGGTGAGACTGGTAAATATTCTTTTTCCACCAGAGGAAAAACAAAGAGAGAAGTTTGCTTTCAATCTAGAGTCAGCTACTAGTCATCTTTGTAGACGTCTACACCTCATCCTGGTACATCCTCTCTTCTGTAAATAAACTGCCTTTCATCTGGCAAAAATGCAGCCTGCCATTAGAATGGAGTGTTCTGATTGTTGTAGATCACGCAATTAACATACTATCTAGCCATCAGAAAATTTAAGTCAACTGCGTTCCCTGTAATTAATTATCTGTAAAATATGCCTGTGTGTGCCACAGTGTACGAGTTGCCAGATGTCTGATATCAAGACTGTTCTAAGGAATCCTCCTCGTTTATCTCAGACACTGGCTGTTGTGAGGTTGTGCTTCCTCTCCCACGAGTCAGCTGAGTGGAGGATGTAACTTACGCTTTTTGTTTCTTCTCTTTCTAGATGTATTCCTGTCATTGAACATTTGCCCATTTGAAGGCACAGGGGAAGCTCAGCCATCAGTATGTCCAAGTACAAACTGATTATCTTAAGACATGGGGAGGGTGCTTGGAACAAAGAGAATCGTTTTTGTAGCTGGGTAGATCAGAAACTTAACAGTGACGGGCTGGAGGAAGCTCGGAACTGTGGGAAGCAGCTCAAAGCACTCAACTTTGAGTTTGATCTGGTGTTCACGTCCATCCTTAATCGGTCCATCCACACAGCCTGGCTGATCCTGGAAGAGCTGGGGCAGGAGTGGGTTCCTGTCGAAAGCTCTTGGCGTCTGAATGAGCGTCACTACGGAGCCTTGATCGGTCTCAATAGGGAGAAGATGGCTTTGAATCATGGCGAAGAGCAAGTGAGGCTCTGGAGAAGAAGCTACAATGTGACCCCGCCTCCCATCGAGGAATCTCATCCTTACTACCATGAAATCTACAACGACCGGAGGTATAAAGTGTGTGATGTACCTGTGGATCAACTGCCACGGTCCGAAAGTCTAAAGGATGTTCTGGAGAGACTCCTTCCCTTTTGGAACGAAAGGATTGCTCCTGAGGTGTTAAGTGGCAAAACCATTCTGATATCTGCTCATGGAAATAGCAGTAGGGCACTCCTGAAACATCTGGAAGGTACCGTCTTTCTGCTACTACTTATTAGAGGTTGCTAATGTCATCCTTGGGCCTTAATCTAGAAAGGATATGGTTCCTAAGCTAATAATGCACAGTTCACATACTAGACTTTCCTTCCCTATTCTCTTTGGTCACTTCAGTCTTTTAAGAATCATTCTGTCCTATAAATCAAAAATTCTCTGCCTTTTCTACCCATATTGTCTGGAGCAGTGGCTCTCAAACTTGAGCAAGCATCAGAATCACCTGGAGGGGTGCTTGGTCTACCCCATATTGCTGGCCTCGCCCTTGGAGTTTCTGAACCTGTAGGCCCGGGGTCCCAACCCAAGAAGTGGCATTTCTGAGAAATTTTCAGGTGATGCTGATACTGCTACTTGGGGTTCTCCATTTGGAGAACTCTGGACTAAAGGACTATGTAGATTTGTTGTAGCAAGATAAAAGGAGCTTAGGAAGGGAAGGAATATCTGTAGAAATGTTACTCAAAATCAGTTTATCCATATGCTGCTTCTAAGAGAAGTAAAATGAGCTAGACTTCAGTTTTGCTCACGTTTTTCCAACTTTAAACAATTATTGCCGTGTTTTCAGAACTAGGTGTCTTGAACAATTCTTTTGCTCTAGTCCTCTCTTTCCAGACCAGACTTAGTCTTTGATTGGGAGAAATTTTGGGAGAAGGGGGTGGGGATAAAATGATGGCTTATTGTCAGTAGCCTCCATACTGTTTGATTTGTATGCTAAATGTACTGTAAAATGGGCTGTAATGTTACCTGTCTCCTAAGTAACAGGAACGAAGTGAACTCTTTTGAGGACTCGAGCTCACCAGATTTGGGCGTCAGTGATCGCACTGTGACATTTCCAGGGCATTTCGCATCCCCACAAACCCTTCAGTAAATAATCCCAGCCGGGAGTGCTTTTTGAGTGGTCAGCTTTGTCTGGTGGTTTCCTGTCTGTCGTCACTGTCAGCAGTTACCTTACTGATGTTAGAATGCACTTCACGAACGTTCCTTTCCCGCTCTGCTTTGCTTTTCTGTCTGGGGCTGTGAAAAAGGAAAGGTTTAGCCCTGGCCGGTTTGGCTTAGCGGTTAGAGCGTCCACCTGCGGTCCGGAGAGACCCGGGTTCGGTTCCCGCTAAGGGCACGTACCTCGGTTGCACTTTGTCCCCGGCCCTGGTTGGTCGTGTGGGTGGCAGCCACTCAGTGTGTCCCTTTCACATCGATGTTTCCCTCTCTCTCTCTTTCTCTCCCTGTACAAAAAATGGAAAAATGTCTTTGGGTGAGGAGGATAAAAAAAGGAAAGGTTTAACCTCCTATGTGAAGTAGTGAGAATAGGGGATTGGTAACAAAATAAAGTGATCTTTATGAGATTTTACTGTAAACTTTTTAGCATGTGTTTTTTTAGCCCTAATTTTTATAACATGGCCAACAGCCAAATCATTACTTGTATACCTGCATCCATTAGTTGTGCAGAAATCTAAGATCTACAGACTTTATTGGCTATTAAAAACTTTACTGGCTAGACATGGCGCTCGATCTGTTTGTGGGTGTATGTGTGTATATATCTTAATTTACTCAACTATATAAAGGGTTCTATTCTTCCTTGTTCAAAATAGTCAGATTGAAGTGATATATAGCTTCATCATTATTGGACTATAGTACTTCATTGTTTGAAGAAGAGTTGAGTCTCATCTTAGGACAACAACAGACTGAAATTCAGAATTTCAAAGCTTTTTCCAGAAGATGTCATCTTTCTCACTTGCCGGTATCTTTTGTTCAGAGATGGAACTTCTCTCTCTTTGTGGCCAGACACCCTTTCCTAAAAAAGTGTTATCTCCTTCAGGGTCCTCTTTGCTTCCCTGTCTTAGCTGGGAAAATCCTCCCTTTAGAGACAGTCTCCTGCCGTTTGTTATCATCTCTCCTGTCTTCAGGTTTAGATGTCTTTCAGATTGTTCTATAGCCCACCCATAGCTCCTTCTAGCACCCCTTCCTGTTAATGCACTGATGGTTGAACTATTTGTTACTGTTCTTTTTTTGGAAGGAAATAGGATGGTTTAACAAACGGTGGCAAAGAAGACTGTCACCACGGTGGGAAGGGAGGGAGAATCACCGGTGGAAGGCAAGGTTACTCGCAGAAACGTTTACTTTCTATATTTGGGAGAGGTTTTGAATCCATTAATAATTTATTAGCAAACAATCAAATGCAATAACTGCTTTGGAAAACAATCTGGCAGTTCTTCGACAGGTTAGATATAGAGTTACCATATGATACAGCAATTCCACTCCTAGGTATGTGTCTGCATTAGTTTCCTAGTGCTACTGTAACAAAATACCAAAAACTGGGAGACATTTTCTCACAGTTTGGGGGCCTAGAAGTCCTAAATAAAGCTATTGGCAGGGTCTTTCTCTCTTCTAGTGGCTTTGGAAGAGAACCCTTTCTTGCCTCTTGTAGCTTCTGGTATTTGCCGGAAATCTTTGAGTCCTTCCTTGGTTTGTAGATCTGTCCCTGCAACTTTGTCTTCACTTGGCATTCTCCCTGTGTGTATCTCTGTTTCTTGCCCAGATTTCCTCTTTTTATTAAAAAAATTTTTTTTTTCTTTATTGATTTTTAGAGAGCAAGGAAGGGAGAAGTGGGGAGATGGAAACATCGATGAGAGAGAACATCGATTGGCCGCCTCCTGCATGCCCCCCACCGGGGATTGGGCCCACAACCTGGGCATGTGCCCTGACCAGGAATCAAAATGGTGACATCTTGGTGCATGGGTCGACGCTCAACCACTGAGCCACACTGGCCGAGCACAAATTTCCCCTTTTTATAAGGACATCAATAACATTGGACTAGTGCCTACCCCAATGACCTCATTTTAACTTGGTTACCTTTTTAAAGACCCTATTTCCAAATAAGATCACTTTCTGAGGTATCAGAGGTTAGGACTTCAACATATTTTGGGGGGATGGGGGTAGATATAGTTCAATCCAGAAGAATACCTAAGAGAATTGAAAACATACATTCACACATAAATTTTTACACAAAACTTCATAGCAGTGTTATTCATAGTAGTCAAAATGTGGAAGCAGCCCAAATGCCCGTCAACCGGTGATTGTATGAATGAAATGTGGTATATCCCTACAATGGAATATTATTCAGCAATCAAAAGGAATAAAGTACTGATATATGTTACAACATGGATGAACCTTGAAATTGTTACAGTGGAAGCAAGTCACAAAGGATCGCATGTTGTAGAATTTTATTTATATGTAGTGTCAGAATGGGCAAATCTATAGAGACAAAGTAGATTGTTTTCTAGGGCTGGGGAGGAGTTGAAGGAGGGCATGGAATGAAATGTGACTGATAATAGGTACAGGGGTTCTTGTTGGGATAGTGGAAATGTTCTAAAGTTGATTGTGGTGAACATCAATATTCGGGTTACACAAATATTCAGGTTACACAACTCTGAATATACTAAAGTCCATTGAATTGTACACTTTAAGTGGGTGAATTGAATGGTGTGTGAGTTATCATTAAAGCTGCAAAAAGAATCAATGGGACTGAAAGATTAAAGGATTTGGCATTGGCCTAGAAAAAAGTAGTTTAGGGCAAATATATAAAAGTAGTAACAAAATAGAAAGGCATGGATGTGAAGTGAAGAATAAGTAAAAAATTAAAACACAGATTTGACCACTGGGGCAGAAATGAATTTATAGGGATCCCTGAGAAATTAGCAGACTTTGTCCATAGGTTTCATTTAACCTTTCTTCTAAAGGTCTTTTTTTTTTTTTCAGGTTGGAGGTATGGGACTAAATCACATTTCAGAGATGAATTAATTTGAAGCAACCTTAAATTATAATTCCTATCCCTATTATGTTGTATAAATAGGCTTCATAGAAAATGTTTTATTTGGAGAATAATTGATTTAAAATATTGGTGTTCATACTGGAAGAGGTCAGTTGCATGAAGGGACTTGAGTAGGAAGTATGTGAAAGTAGAAAACCGTACAGGGCTGGCAGCTGTCTGCAGAGAAGGAAGGTATATATGAGGGAGGCGGAATGGAAATGGTAAGGTTGCTAACCAGGGAGGATGGCAGACATTCTGGGGGGAAATTTCTCAGAAAAGTCAGAGTATGCCATTAGGCACAAGCTGGGGAAACAAATGGAGTATACGTGATGACTGAGATTTGTCGCTAGGGAGACAGGCATTAAGGGTGGTTTGTAATATTGGCTCACCCATCTGGGTAGAACAACTTTGCTCCTTTTTGGCCTGTAGTGCCCCCTGGTGGTACTGTTAAGATTCACGGAGTTCTTTGATGTTGCTCTAATTCCCTATAGTGATTTACTCCCACACCAAACATGGAAGTTACATGTGTATGAAGAAGACTGGAGTATGTCTTAGGATCATTTGATAAATTAGTTATCTATTAATTTGGGAGTTCTCCGAATGCTATTTTCCACTAATGGAATTTCTCTTGTAGTGTATATTAAAGAATAAAATCCAAGTATTCTGCCCTGGTTGGCTGGCTCAGTTGGTTGGAGCATCGTCTCATACACCAAAAGGTTGTGGGTTTGATTCCTGATCAGGGCACATACCTAAGTTGCGGGTTTGATCCCCAGTTGAGGCAACTGATCGATGTTTCTCTCTCACATTGATGGTTTTCTTTCTCTTTCTCTCTAAAAATCAATAAAAACATAACCTCGGGTGAGGATTAAAAAAAGAGAGAGATCCAGCATTCTGTGGTACAGCTGTAAGAATTAAGCATAGTGACTTTCCCAAGATCAGTAGAAATGGTATGTACTATTTCTTCCATGCTATTCCTGTTAATTTAGTGAGATTTCAGCCCTGTTGAAATTTATTTTAACTCTCTATGCTCACTGGAATGGGAATGCCAACATTTGATCTCTCGTCCTGCCATGTGTAACTCCAAGAGCTCAAGTTACAGGGCTTCATGTGGCACTTGATGTTCAGCCTAAAAACATTTCATTGAATTTGGATGCTAACTTTCAAGACTCCAAAAAGTAAGTGACTATCTCTTTTTTTAGGGGAAAAATAAAGATTTTGTTTTATAAGAAGAACTACGTGCCAACATGTATGTGTGTGTTTGTGTTAAAAAAAAAGCATATTATAAAATTTACCATCTTGATTGTCAATTTATTTTTACTGTGAAGTTATATGACCATACAACCCACTTTCTGGTTGATGTCTTTTATCCCAGAGCAATTATTAATAGCACCTTCTTTCACTTTAAGAAGCGTCCCAGCTAGGATGATAAGTTATATGGTCACCTTACCACTACAAAGATGTCAGCTTTCACTAGTATTAAGAAAATATCCCTGAAATGAGTGTGACCAAATGAATGTGTTATATGTCCTATAAACACAGAAGTTGCTATTTTTTTTTTGCATTGATGACAGAACTAAAAATGCTTGTGGTTGTAGATTCATCTGCTTCCTAGTCATGCTTTTGAGATATGTTTATACAAAATTCTCCCCTGTCAAACAGGATCTTTCAGAGAATTGGGGCAGTTTTCCCCTATAGTGTCTTTAAACTGCCTGACAAACTTAAAACGTTTTATGTGCTGCTGGAAAGGAGTGTAGTAACTGATGGAATCAGTGTCAGAATGTTGTCATGTCATAAAAATACTTTCTTATTTTTTAAAGACTGTAACTTTGGGGTAGGAAGGATGATGACCCAAATAACTAATTAGAATATTGATTCACCCTGAAATCTCAAAATGCCTCTACTACTAAGAGTATTCTAGTGTTACTCATCTTCTCTAGATTAGATATAACTGAACAATGGAGAGTGTTGATTCTTAAGACATTATTTTGTTTCTCAACTGTTGGTGTTATGACATTACCCTATAGACCACCGGTTCTCAACCTGTGGGTCGCGACCCCTTTCACAGGGGTCGCCTAAGACCATCGGAAAACACATATTTCTGATGGCGATTCATAACAGTAGCAAAATTACAGTTATGAAGTAGCAACGAAAATAGCTTTAAGGTGGGGGGTCACCACAACATGAGGAACTGTATGAAAGGGTCGCGGCATGGGGAAGGTTGAGACCTGCTGCTCTCGGCAGTCAGATCCTGCCTGACACCCCTTCCATGTGTGGGGAAGAACCCAGGTGCTGTTGAAGAAAACTGAAACCAGACAGACCTCAGATGACTTGGCCCTGAGCATGATAATTAGATGGGGTAGTGAATTCCGCCCAAACCCAGTTCACTAGTCTCTGCACATGATGACCACCTGGGCTTTTTTGTTTTAATTTTTTTTCGGAAAAGTCGCCCTTCCTGTGATCTATTTTTTGTTTGGAATACTGTTATAAGATGCCAGGTCCAGAGCATCTTTGCAAGGAAACCATAAAAAGGTAATTTGATGTAAATGATTGAGGCTTAAATTATTACTGCTGCCACCCCAACATTGTAGTGTGTGCATGGCATTCCCTAATACAGCTATACGAAGTGGCCTTTTTTGGAGTGCTGCATACCTTGCGCCAAGTGCAATTCTAGGCATTCATAAATTTCCTGTTTGTTTTTTTAAGTTGTTTTTTTTTTTTTTCCTTTATTGATTTTTGGAGAGAGAGGAAGGGAGAGGGAGAGAGAAACATCGATGAGAGAGAACATCGATTGGCCGCCTCCTGCATGCTCCCCACTGGGGATCGGGCCCACAACCTGGGCATGAGCCCTGACCGGGAATCAAACTGGGGACCTCTTGGTGCATGGGTTGTTGCTCAACCACTGAACCACACCGGCTGGACCCTACGTTTCTTATTTAATGTAGGAACTAGCACAAGGCTTTCATTGGAAAGCTATAGTTCAATACTGTGTTTTGCTCTGGTCTTTAGTGTATCTAGGTCATATTATTTATTTCATTTGATCAATCATTGACACTAAGCTGTTTTGCTGAAAGAAACTGCTTTAACAGTAGAAGCAAACCACCAATACACCTAACATCATGATGAATCTCAGTTGCATTATGCTAAAAGAAAGAAACCAGGCTTAGAAAGCTGTATATTATAAATTTATGTGTTGAAGTTGTAACCCCTGTAACTCAGAATGTGACTGTATTTGGAGACAGTGACTTTATTTATGTTTTATTTAATTTATTTTTGTTACAGTTTCTCCTTTTTCCCCTCATTGACACCCTCCTCCTGTTCCCGCCCCACTCCCAGCATTGTTATTTATGTACATTGGTTATGCTTATATGCATAAGTTCTTTGGTTTATCTCTTCCCTCCTCCCCAAACCCTCCTCTGAAGTTTGTCAGTCTGCATCCTACTTCTAGGTCTCTGGGTCTATTTTGTTCATCACCTTATTTGTTCATTATATTCCACAAATAAGTGAGATCAGGTGATACTTGTCTTTCTCTGACTGGCTTATTTCACTTAGTATAATACTCTCCGGGTCCCTCTATGTCATCTCAAAGAATAAGAGATCTTTCTTTCTTACAGCTGCATAGTATTCCATTGTGTATATGTAGCACAGCTTTGTTATCTACTCATCTATTGATGGACACGTGGGCTGTTTCCAGATCTTAGCAATTGTAAATAGTGCTGCTATGAACATAGGGGTACATATATTCTTTCTGATTGGTGTTTCAGGCTTCTTAGGATATATACCTAGAGTTGGGATCACTTGGTTAAATGGCAGTTCAATTTTTATTTTTTTGAGGAAAAACCACATTGTTTTCCATAGTGGCTGCACCAGTCTGCATTCCCACCAGCAGTGTACTAGAGTCCCCTTTTCTCCACACCCTCGCCAACACTTGTTGTTTGATGATTGGTTGATGGTGGCCATTCTGGAAGGTGTGAGGTGATACCTCACAGTCGTTTTATTTATTTTTTTATCCTCACCCGAGGACATTTTTCCATTTTTTGTTCAGATAGAGCGGGAGGGAGAGAGAGGAAGACAGAGAGAGAGAGAAACATCGACGTGAAGGGACACATCGAGTGGCTGCCACCGCACCACCAACCAGGGCTGGGGACAAACTGCAACCGAGGCACACGCCCTTAGCGGGAACTGAACCCGGGTCTCTCTGGACTGCAGGCCGACGCTCCAACCAATGAGCCAAACCAGCCAGGGCCTCACAGTCGTTTTAATTTGCATCTCTCCGATGATTAGTGACATTGAGCATTTTTTCATGTCTCTCAGGCCATTTGTATGTCCTCTTTGGAGAGGTAGCTCTGTAGGTCCTCTGCCCATTTTTTAATTGGGTTCTTTGTCTTCCTTTTGTTGAGTTCTCTGAGTACTCTATATATTTTGGAAATTAACTCCTTATCTGATGTATGATTGGCAGTTATGCTCTCCCATATAGTGGGATCCCTTTCTATTTTGATGCTTGTTTCTTTTGCTGTGCAGAAGCTTTTTAGCTTTATGTAGTCCCATGTATTATTTTTTTCCTTTATTTCTCTTACCTTAGGTATTGTATCTGAAAATATTGCTGCGTGTGATATCTGAAATTTTGTTCCCTACATATTCTTCTAGGATTTTTATGGGTTCAGGAGTCACATATAAGTCTTTATCCATTTTGAGTTTATTCTTGTGTATGGTGTAAGTTGATGGTCTAGTTTCATTTTTTTGCATGTAGCTGTCTAATTTCCCCCCAACAACACCATTTATTAAATAGGCTGTCTTTACTCCATTGTATGCTCTTGCCACTTTTGTCAAATATTAATTGAGCATAATGTTTTGGGTCAATTTCTGTGTTCTCTGTTCTGTTCCACTGATCTATATGCCTGTTCTTGTGCCAGTACCAGGCTGTTTTGATTATAGTGACTGTGTCGTATAACCTGATATCTGGTATTGTGATCCCTCCTACTTTGTTCTTTTCCAAGATTGCTCTGGCTATTTGGGGTCTTTTTTGGTTCCATATAAACTTTTGGAGTGTTTGTTCTAGTCCTGTGAAATATGTCATTGGTATTTTAGTGGGGATTGCATTGAATCTATAGATTGCTTTGGGTAATATGGACATTTTAATGATGTTAATTCTTCCAATCCATGAACAAGATACATCCAGGAATCACTGGCACTGTTATATACCAATAATGAACACACAGAAAGAGAAATTTTAAAAAAATTCCATTTACCATTGCAACAAAAAAAATTAAGATACCTAGGAATAAACTTAACCAAAGAAGTAAAGGACCTGTTTGCAGAAAACTACAGGACATTGAAAAAGGAAATAGAGGAAGATCTAAAAAAAAGTGGACATAGTGACTTTAAAGAGGTAATTAAGATAAAATGAGGCCATTAGGGTGGTCCTAATCCAATATGACTGGTATCCTTACCCAATATGACCGGTATCCTTAGAAGAAGAGGAAATCTGGGCACTGATACGCACAGAGAGAAGACTGTGTGAAGACACAAGGAGAGAGGCCTAAGGAAAAAACGCTCCTTGATAGCTTTAGAATTTTGAGAAATTTTCTGTTTTATATTGTATAGTGCCATTTATATCGGGAAAAGGTAAGACTATTTGGTCAGCCAACAGGTCAGTGGAGGAGGGTAGACTGTAAAGGGGCACAAGGAAATGTTGGGGAATGAGAGAACTATTCTGGACACCAAAAAGGGTGAATTTTACTGCCTGTGAATTATACCTCAGTTTTAAAAGACCTGCCCTTATCTAGTGCAATGACCACTGCTCTAATTGAGACCTTGCCTTTTGTTTCACAAAATGATAGACTAGTTTGTCAGTTGGTAGAGTTGAAGGGAGGTTGCTGTGTACATCTACCTGACCCTTTGAAAACTAATGTGGAGGGGGTCAGTAATGCTTTCTCAACGAACCGGCGACCCCTTGGTGCATGGGTCAGTGCTCAACCACTGAGCCACACTGCCAGGCTTCATGAAATGTTTTGTAGAAGCTGCTGGACCATGAAGATTTATGTTTGAGGTGGTGAGCTCTGTTAGTCAAGGTTTTTCTGCCTCCAGACTGTTTCTTCTCATTTGCCACCAGCTTCCAAGTTATGTTCCCAGGAACTGCTTGTCAGTGCCTAGGCCTGATCAGAATGGCCTCTACCCCGTGAAATTACTTCTTTATGGAATGTATCTGCTCTTACATTATATATAATTTGGGATTGCTTTACTCTTAACTTGATGGTAGTTCTTAATACTTTTAGAAGAAAGAAGACTTAAAGCAGACATGAAATATTATACAGTAAGAAAATCCCTACTTCAGGGACTCCTTTACTGATTTTTAGCAGCAGATGACCTGGGCGATACTGACAAGGTCAGATTGAAGCAGGGCCCACCTCTCACTGGTTCAGACATGCTTGTCACAAAGCACCCCCCTGAAAACTCCTCTCCCAGGCTGAGTATCTAAAAGCATGCTATTCTGTAGTGTTCCAGACAGGCGTGTGTTTCTTTCTCTGTGGTTGGCATAGTCACTTCCTGTTTGTTTCCTGCTGGCCCACATTGAAGGCAAGGCCAGGTCCTGAACCGAGGCACTGGATGCAGTCTGCATCTTGCCAGCGGAAGTGGATTGTTTAGTCTGGGTTCAAGCACAGGGCTGGGCAGTTTCAAGTTTGGAATAAGAGTGGCATGCAAGAGACTCATGAAAGCCGACTTGATCCCTGAAGAATTGCGTGCAGCTGTACACATAACAAGGCGGAGAAGTGGGCAGAGGAAATCAGAGACTCAGGGAGGAAAGGTCAGCTGGAACTCGCTGAGGGGACAGGGACAGACAAGTCAGTCACCTTTGGCATTTTAGTGTGATATTTTCAGAGGCAGCAAATTCGGGCCTCTCTTCTATGAAACAGATACTAGCCTAGTGGTATAGTTAGACTTGCTCTTATCAGTATGATTGATCTATAGAAACCTTTATTTTTAAAAGTTGTAGGCTATTTAACTATAAATTCTATGTAGAATGGACTCTTAGCCTTATTCTAATTTAGAGGCTGGACTCCTATTATCACATTACAATATTCAAACAACCCATTTCCAGGTGTTCCCCAGCCAGTCTTTAAGTTGGACATATGTAGCATTCAAATCTTAAAGAATTGTAATTAAAAACAGGTAGGTCATCTGTAGAGTTCGGAATTTCTTGTGTTAGCTCTTATTTTGGCAATAGGATGCAGAACTCTCATCGCCAGCACCCACAGGTGGGGCCTGAATTGTGACGGCTTGATTGGGAAAGGGAAGTGAGGCATGGGTGGGACCTCATACTTGAATGGTTTGGTCAAAACTGTTTTTCTTTTTCTAACCCCCCAAAATATGCATTTTAGAAGCAGGGTTTCCTCTTGTCCTATAACAACTCTGTCTCCCTCAACATCTTTTCTCCCATTTCCTGATATTCAAAGATTTTGAGCAAATACTTTGGAGAAAATCAAAGAAAATACATAGAAGACAAATTTAATATTTACTTTATTAGCACCAAATGCAAACAGTCTTTTTTCAACTTTCTCAATTCTCTCTCTCTCTCTCTTTTTTTTTTCTTGGTAAGGTAATGAAGGGAACACAATTTCTAATCAAGGCTTCAATATAAAAGACTAGATTTAATTTGAAAGTCCAGAGGGTTCAAATTTATTCATTTTAGCTGTGTGTTGAGGGTCTGTCAAGTCAGGCACTGTTCCTGGAGCAAGGGCACAGCCCCTAGAATTGGACCCACAAAGTAGTCCTGACTTGTGGACTCATGTCTCCATTTCAACCTCTTTCTAAAATTCAGCCAAGACTGAACCTCTGAAAAGACCTCCGAATGCTTTCGTGTAGAGGCTTTATGTATTAGAGTTTTTAATTAATGTTTTATTCCTTATCGCCTTTATTTATATGTAAAAACTAGACATATAACACATACAGTTGTAATAGTGGGTGATGTAGCTAAATAATTTCTGGATCCTAGCAGCCAACACGTAATAGTGGTCCTTACAGTTCAACAAACATGTACTCAATGCTCACAGTGGGGAAGGCACTATCCCAAGATCATGGGTGATGCATGGATGGATAAAACCTGGTTCTTGTTCAAGGAACTTATAACCCTGTGGGAGAAGCGAGCATCTGTGGCCACCGCCAACAGAAGCAAAGTGTGAGTGGTGTAGTAGAGAGACAGTGATCTTAATAGCTGTCTGTGGATCCTGTTTCTGCTAAAGTGACTTGTGGAGGTGGCTTATAGGTGCAGATTTGACTTTCTGAAGTCAGTCCTGTATGTAGAAAATGAAGTTTGAATTTAGCCTCATATTGGCCTTGAGATGTTACCCCTTTGACTTACCAAACTCTTATTTCTTACTTGAAATACCCCAGTCATTTAAATAGATTGCAGTTAACTCCTAGAAGCTCCTACATGAAGATTCAAGAATTAAAGGCAGGTGCCCTGGCTGGTGTGACTCAGTTGGTTGGAGCGTCATCTCGTACACCAGAAGGTGGCAGGTTCGATTCCCACTCAGGGCACATACCCAGGTTGCAGGTCCAATCCCCAGTTGGGACACATGTGGGAGGCAACCAATCAATGTTTTTCTCAAGCATTGCTGTTTCTCTCTCCCTTCCTCTCTCTCAAATCAATTAAAGAAAAGAATGAAAGGCAATCAATGGCTTGGATTTCAGAAGAGGGTGGCCACAGAGGGGAAGTGATGGAAAAGTGTTGATGCAGGATGAAAACTCAGTGATGTTTCCCTTCAGAACATTCTTGGATGCTGTCTAAAAAATCTCTGCCAATTATCAGACAGACAGATGTGATCTCTGACCACTAACTTTATCTTTCATCTGATGTTTTAGTTAATGAGTTTGTAGCACAATATTGCATAATATAGTATTGTTCTGTTTGGTTCAATCCAGTGCAGATGCATTATTCTAGCCGCAGGAGTTCTGCTTGCTTAACTTTCTTAGAACAAAGAATGTGATTTATGCCAACATTGAGCAATGAGTAATGGCTTCATTGTGGTTTTTCCTAATTTGCTATTTAAAATTTAAGTCTCATCGACTGATTATTAACCAGTCTAAGTATTTTAAATATTTGTAAGTAATTAGTCTGCTGTGTGAATGGCTTGAGTAGTCATTAAAGTGGAATGTCAACTTTTTAAAATTGAAAATGTTCCTATTTTTGTTGAACTCTCTTTGTAGGTGAAGAATTATAGTTCTCATGGTCTTTGTGTAGTTGGCTCTTTGATTTGATCCCACACACTTAAGCCATAGGCATGAGCTTGAGAATGGTGCAATTAAAGAGAGGACCTGCTAGGTCTGGTTAGATCTGTGGTCACCGTCAAACAAGAATTATTTTCTGAGGTCACAGACTGCAACTCCCAAACCTCATCATGATCCCAGTGTGTTGGCTATTTCAAGAGGATCAGACAAATGTGTTCATATCCTTTACTAGTCTTGAAAACATGAGAACATTGGTGCTGGTGTCCAGTGTTGTGAGCAAGGGAGCATCCCAGAAAGGAGTCTTTCCACAGTGCCAGGTTTATTAGGGGACATCTCCCCAATAAGCCAATAGAGTCACATGCAGGTTATGCACAGCAAGAGGGAACTTAAGCGATAGAAGCAAGCAGAGCGAGCATCCGGCGCGAAGTCCCTGGTCACTGGCATTGTCCGCAGGAGGCGAGGCCAGCATCAGTCTCGAGCCAGGCAGCTGCAGTGGTGGCAGGCATCTGGGGGGGTGGAAGTCCGACAGGGCTTGGAGCGTGACCCTTGGTGCAGCCAAGCTTGGGCGTTGGGTGGTTGGAGCTCTGAGTTCTTATAGTCCACAATGGGTGGAGGTCCCACTCATATTGGTATCCCGATGGAGTCCTTATCCAAGTGTCCAGACTTGTGGTTTGGCATTCTGGGCCCCCCCTAAGGGCATGCCCATTACACCTCATTCTCTCAGTCATGACATAGCACTTGACACAGCTGTCATGGCTGACAGTGACTCCATGTTGGATTGTCACCGGTGTCCAGGGAGTCTGCACTTTCCCTCTTACATCCAATCAGCACCCAGCCTTTGACCAGGGCAGTGAGTGCCCACCTTGCCCGCTCTCCTGTGCTGTGGTGGACGTAGCGTAGACGAGTCAGGTGACCAGAGCTGGAGTCCTGGAGTTTGGGAATTAAAAATGAAAACAGACATGTTCAATTATACTACTTTAACAAAATTGTGACTTGAGCAGTTTTATTTAACTTCTCAATTTGTTTAGTATTTTTAACAGCCTTATTGAGATACAATTCACATACCATATAATTCACTCACGTAAAGTACACAGTCCATCAGCTTGCAGTATATTCAGAGTTGCCCCTCCATCACCACAGTTTATTTTAGGTCATTTTCATTACCCTCAAGAGAAACCCTATACCTAGCTGTCACTTCCCAGCCCCTCATTCCCTAGACATCCACTCATCTATTTATAAATCGGCCTATTCTGGGCATTTCACATAAATGGAATCGTGCAATATGTAGTCTTTTATGACTGACTTCTTTTGCTTAGCATAATGTTTCCAAGGTTCATCAATATTTAGCACAAATCAGTACTTTGTTCCTTTTTATTGCCAAATAATACTCCACTCTATGGATATACTGCATTTAATTTATCTATCAGTTGATGAACATTTAAGCTCCTTCCACTTTGGGGCTGTTATGAATAATGCTGCTATGAAGGTGTGTGTCCAAGCTTTTGGGTGGACCTATGTTTTCATTTCTCTTGGGTGTATACCCAAGAGTGAAATTGCTGGGTCACATGGTAATCCTGTGCTTAACTCTTTGAGGAATTGCCAGACTGTGTTTGCAAAGAATCCACAGCATTTTATGCTTTTAATTTTACAGTGTATTAGGATTCCAGTTTTCTATATCTTCACCAGCACTTATTCATAATCTGACTTTTTTATTATAGCCATCCTAGTGGGTATGAGGTGGTGTCTCATTGTGGCTTTGATTGCATTTCCCTGATGGCTAATCATGTTGAGCATGTTTTCATGTGATCACTGGCCATTTGCATATCTTTTTTGGAGAAAGGTCTATTTAGATCTTTTGCCCATTTTTTAATTAGTCATTTGTCCTTTTATTTTTCAAGTGTAATAGTTCTGTATATACTCTAGGTATGTCTCATCAGCTACATGAATTGCAAACATTCTTTTTCATTCTGAGTTATCTTTTCCTTCTCTCGATGGTGTGTTTGAAGCACAAACATGTAAAATTTGTATATGACCAGTTTACCTATTTTTTCCTTTTATTATGCTTTTAATGTCAAATGTGAGAAACCATTGCCTAATTCAAGGTCATGAAGATTTTCTCCTGTGTGTTCTACAAGGTTTAAAGTTTTAGCTCTTTTTAAAAATTTTTTTTAAGGATTTAAAAAAATATGCTGCTATTGATTTAGAGAGAGAGGGGAACATCGATGTGAGAGAGACACATCGATGGGCTGCCTCCTGCATGCCCCCTACTGGGGACTGAGCCCACCACCCAGGCATGTGCCCTGACTGGGAATCGAACCAGGACCTCTCAGTGCATGGAATGACTCTCAACCCACTGAGCCACACTGGGCGGACTAAAGTTTTAGCTCTGATATCTAAAACTTTGACCCATTTTGAGTTCGTGTATTGAGGGGGACTGGCAGAAGAGGAGATGGGCAGTGTACTGTCCATCATTTCATAGCTGTTTGAGTGCGTGCAGCTTGTGCATAAGAGTCCTAGGTAGCTCTCTGGGCCTAGAAATGAAAATCTAATGAAGAACTGCCTTAGCACTTGGGACCCAGTGCTATGATTTTGTGACTTTTGGCTGGTGCTGTAGTTATGACCACTGGTTAATTAAAATGACAAAGTGCATTAAGAACTAACTGCTTGTAACCTTTTCTGCCGTCATCACCTCCCAAGCAAAGACAAACCCTCAGACTCTCCCTCGGAACTTGCTCCGCCTCGGTCCTGTCTATTAATACAGAACAGAAGCATTTGGTTAGAATATAGAAGTCTATATGTAACGAAGGTGCGTTTTTAAAATAGATAATTTGAATAGTTTTAATTACCTTTTAATTTGCTTAACTCGGTTTCTTTGCCCATTTTGAACTCAGAAGAACTTGAAGGCATTACTTTGTACAGTAGTTAGACACCTGGGTTTGAATGAAGCTCTGCTACTTACCATCTGTGTGATCTTCACTTGTTTGCTTAACCTCTCTGTGCCCAAACTTGTTACATGGAAAAATAATAACTTCTAACCTCATAGGATTGCGGCAATGACTTAATGAGTTAATTAATACATATAAAGTGCTTAGAAGAGTGGAGCAGACCCAGTACACGTTAGCTGCTTAGTGTTCAAAGTAGTCATAATAATAAAAATACTGCCACTACCACTGCTGCTACTGTGGTCTCACGCCAACTCTTCTGGTCAAAGCTGAACTACCTGTAATTTAACTTATTTAAAGAGAAATGAAGGTAATTTGTTTGTTACACATAACCTTCCTCTCCTAGCAGTTGGGGTGATAAGGGCCAGTAGGAGAATGAGGTGGGTTACAAGGCGTGACTTAGGGTCCTTTCCCGGTCCCCTCCTGGCTTCCTCAGTAGCTAGGGAAGTGTCCCCCTGGCTGGACTTAGCCCGGAGTTTTCCAAGCTCACTCAGTGATGGAAAACCAGCCACATTCTAATCCGCTGAACCAGATGTCAAGGTTAATTTTAGCCAGCCTGGGGATAACACATTAAAGGGGGAAAAAATCAGAAAACCCTTTCGGTACACATTCAGATTTTTCAAGATTGATTCGTGTGGAAAAATCAGTAATACAAATGTGGGCATGGAGAGAAATTAATGTTCATTCTTTTAAGGTTTCAATAGAAAACAGCCAGGAACAGATTGTCCCCAAAAGGTATTTGTCATCCTAAGGTTTGGTGTGATGTGAATTTCTGTCCTAGGTTTTATTTTAATTGTTTAACTTCTGGGAAGTTCTTGGCTTCCAGGCACTATAGATAGACCCCCTCACAGTGCCTGGCATGGCTCCAGGCAGGCAGTGAATCTGGGACTAAATACACGTGCAGTTAAGCAGCGGAACAGAACTGCCTCCTGGGTGGTCTTTAACGCCTGTTCCTTTCTCTCTCAATCTCCAGGTATCTCAGATGAAGACATTATCAACATTACTCTTCCTACTGGCGTCCCCATTCTCCTGGAACTGGATGAGAACCTGCGTACTGTTGGGCCTCACCAGTTCTTGGGGGACCAAGAGGCTATCCAAGCAGCCATTAAGAAAGTAGAGGATCAAGGAAAAGTGAAAAAAGCTGAAAAATAAAGTCTTCCCCAGACTTTATTTGTAGCTGGCGAGGAATAGCTACAGAAAGGAATGGCATGCAGTGTGTTGTTATAAGTGCTTCTGTCTCTTTCTTTCTCTTTCTCTCTCCCTCCCTCCCCCCACTTCCCCTCCCTCCCTTCCTCCCTGATTTTTCCAGAGCTGGGCTACGGGGTAACGTTTGTATAGGTAACTAGATAACTTATGTTGGCCCAGATAGAGACTTCAGGGTGCCTGAGTGCTTACTTCATACGCCTTATGGGTTAGCCCTCCCGCCAGCCCTGTTTGAACTAGTCACTAAACCAGTCACCAGTGGGGCTTAGTCAATGTCATATGTTTCTGAGATGGGAGAGTCATAGTGGAGGTGGACTTGAAGGTATTCGCCATTCAGTAGATCATTATCAAGTCACCACTGACAGGTACTACTTAGTAATTTTATATTTACTAAAGCTTTCTGGGATGATAGGAAAGGATATTAGATAATGCACTGTACTTAAGTATTTATTATACTAGCCGTTTCCTCCAGGAAAAGGGATGTTTTGCTAGGTAAGCTGAGAGGCACAGTAAATGGGAAAGCCACAGATGGGTTCCCCCAAGACAGCCAGCAATAAACAACCAAGCCCTGTGCCCTGTCTCTGGTCCAGAGACTCCTGTGTTTGACATTGGGTGGAATTCCTCTTTGGCAGCTAGAATTAGCAGCACATAGACAACTGTAGCTGTTTGTGTTCTCTTTTTGTTTTTTGAAACTTAATCCTTGGGTACTTAAAATTGATTGAAAAATAAAGTTGTGTGACCAAAAATGCTATCCCCAAGTATCTCTACATGACTCATAAATATTAAAGTCTTCTGACCCAGTCTTCTGCTCATATCTTCCTGCAACACTCAAAGAGGTGCACCCTAGTTCTCTGTAAATGAAGGGTGGTGTCAGGGAGAAGGTACAATGTGTAATTTTATTCACAGGAGCAGGGGAAGTGATGTATTGGAGCTTGCTGCATACATTTGGTGTTCAACCGCTGAGGGCTAAGAGTAGCCAGGGTAGACCATGGACAGAATAGATTGCTTATCAATCTTAATGGTACAGTTTCCCTTAGTATATTTTTAGATACTGTCAATATGTAAGTCATTTCTTCAAGCTATTGCCTTATTTCAAAGCAAGTAACATATATTTCAATGATAAAGTCATGTAAAAAAATTTGCAGCTGTAATAGCAGTTACAAAGATTTACCATTGTTTTTGTGGCTTTCCATTGGTGGATTTAGCTTATTTGTATCCATGTTATATTAAACTGGCATTAGAAGAGAACCAACTCTAAAACCTTTGTCACTGCTTGGTCTCCATTTAATCCTTAAATCAAGACTCACAGAGCACTGGCTGATGAAGGTGGCCAAAAAAAAGAGATGAACCTGATTTGCTCACAGCTGGCCACATCTGTGATGCATAAGGTCATGGAATGTGGATGCTTGGAGTTTCTGACTAACTAACTACTGGCTTCTCTACTGTAGTTCTTTTAAAAATTTTTTTAGTCTAGTTGTTTAACCAAATAACACTCTTTAGAATTCAGAGATCAGAGTCAACCACCAACTACCAGATCCTCCTACAATCCCAAACCTATGGGTAGGCTGCATCTCAGACCATTTTTCAACAGCTTCGTCTCTGGAATTGGCCTCTGCACTTTCCAGTCCACGTGGGGACCATGTCAGTGCAGCTTAAGATCCTAGAGTTGGATTCTTGTCTTGTCCGCATCTAGGTGTCTACTTTCAGCCCCCCATCCCACCCCCAAAACATATGTTTATGCACAAAAAACTATTCGCATACCCAGTCACTTGGGAATCTTACTGACTTCCTCAGGTAGGGATAATTTTTGGATGCTTTCTGATACAATTTAGTTTTATTGTTGTTGAGATCTTGGCTGAAATCAATGAAGAGGCATTCATGAATACATGTAAAATTATTTTTAACAACTCCAGCACTTCAACCTTAGGTCACCAGTGGACCTGTTTCTTTGCATGGCCTACAAGGTGGTCATAAGTTTTGATGTAGTAATTGTGAAGGTTGCCTAACCCGTGTCCTCATGTGGCATCCTTGTATGTTAAGCTGGGACCCCCAAAATGGGAATTTTTAATTTCATTTAAATTAAATTTATTTTAAATGGTACGCATCTTGTCTAGAAATGTGGTCTTTGGAGAGGGCACCATCCTGTCGCCAGGTTGGCTTGCCCTCGAACCTGGTACACATGGCTCCCCTTCCCAAGCCGCAGTGAGTGACCCAGTATGGTAACAGGGCAGTAGCAAGATGCTTACTCCTAGAGTTTTAATTTTTAAATATCTCAGCCGGATATCGTATCCCAGTACACTGAGAATTTTTCTACCAGAGCAGAAGTTCTACTTCAGAAAATGGAGGTCTGGCATCATTTAATTTGAGCACTGAATTAACAAAACATCCTTGGTTAGAATTCATTACGTTGTGTATTTTTCCTTGAGAAGATGTGCAGGGAAGGTTTCTTAATGTGATCTGGCTATTGCCAGTCTTAACCATTTAAAAAAAATTTTTTTTTTTAACTGATTTGAGAGAGAGCAAGGAAGAAGTAGGGAGAGAAGAGAAACATCGATGAGAGAGAACATCGATTGGCCGCCTCCTGCGCGCCCCCCACTGGGGATCAGGCCCACAACCCGGGCATGTGCCCTGACCGGGAATCGAACTGGCGACCTCTTGATGCACGGGTCAGCGCTCAGCCACCGAGCCACAGCGGCTGGGCCTCAACCAGATTCTTTTGCAGATTATTTCTTCCCTTGGATCATGACCAGTTTATGAAAATGCAGATACTACGTGGCATCAGTGGCAATGGTTGTCTGCTAGCCTGGGAAGTGTCCCTACACTCTATAGCTTTGGGGGGTAAAATGCTCTTTTTGGTCAGTGTGTGAGCCTGTTAAAGGCAATCTCCATTGGGCAACAACTGGCCAAGTTGGTGGCCGAAACAGAAATCCTCCTGGTCATACTGCCACCCCCAGGAGAGACAGAAGTCAGAGGTCAGGTACCTTTGCACCCTTTCTATTATGTATGTAGTTCTTGACTTTTCCAGCTCCTGTTTTTAACAAAATGGGGAAGGGAAAACAGTTTAACTAGACCAAAGTTCGTCATCCCCAGGGCCATTTTTATTTTATTCTCATGCTTTTACAAATTATCAGTCTCTTTTCAAAGTCCAACTTCCCTCTTACCTAGAAAGCCTTCCATATGTTCTTCCCTTGGAAATATACCAAAATTGTTGCAGATCATGATCCTGTTTTCCTGTTCTGGTGTTTTGCATAACGGGACTTTGCGAGTTTTCGGCTCACTTTTGTAACACCCTTTGTCGTATTAAATCAGGCCTGGCCTCCCAGCACATCTGGTTGTGGAAGATGTCAGGTTATGCTGTGGCCTGTGGGTTTTCACCTTGGACTGTGAGGGGAATTTAAACCACTGATCCCAAGGGGAACAGGAAACATTCAAAATATAAGGATATTTTAATTACTCAGTCTCCCTCTAATGACTAAGTTACTCGGCAAAATGATAGGCAGGATTAAAGTTGCCCTTTCTCCATTCCACAACTGGTAAATTTTTATTTCTTGGAGGGTAATTAGCTAGTATAGTTTAGTCTGGGTTAAGACACTGGGACCTTAAGTCACCAAAAATTATGTAAATTCCTTTGACAGTAGTTTAAAGGTAAGCGGTCCCCTCACTCTCTGCCTCCCGCCCTACTGGATTATTTTGAAACAAATGCCAAACATCAAACAGGATAGATTTTGAAAGGAAAATGACCTACATAGTCTCCAGTGAGTGAAAACGGAAGCCATCAGTCATCTGTTCTGAACTCTGTCTTTTTTGGTTCTCTAGAGAAGCCAAATGGCAGCCCTTGCTTAGCTGTCTTGTTTGAGTCTTGGCCTGTGTATACTGTTTCTTTTTTATTTCTCACCCGAGGACATTTTTCTATTTTTCATCAGATAGAGTGGGTGGGAGGGAGGGAGAGAGACACAAGACAGAAACATCTATGTGATAGAGCCACATCGACTGCTTGCCTCCCACACCACCCAAGCAGGGCTGGGGACGAACTGGATGAACCGCAACCAAGGTACGTGCCCTTGACCGGAACCGAACCTGCCACTCATTGGTCTGCGGGCTGATGCTCTAACCGCCGAGCCAAAGCGGCCAGGGCTTGTGTATCTTTTATTTCTGGTTGCTGTTAGCCTGTTCTGCAGGATAATGTGGGACAATTCGATGACGGGTTAAAGTCAAGTTTAAAGATGAAAATATTTCTGAGACTATTTTAAATAATCCTGAAACAGGATTTTGTAGGTTTAAAAAATTAGCATATTTGTTGATGTTATTGTAAATCAGGTTCCTCACTGTGGAAGAAGGGACATACAAAATGGAAGAAGTTAAAGAAAAACCCTGTTTTGTTGGTTCTGAACTGGAGGTATTCGTGTGAACATGTGTATGTATGTTCCTCGTTCTTTCCAATGTCCCCCCTCCCGTCCCCACTCCCAGATCTGGCTTTGTCCTCTGAAAAGTCCTAAAGCCGTAACCCAGAACACTGAGCACACCCAGTGCCCTTGATCTTGCTTTCTAAATATTATGCCACAACCAGAGACGCTGGTGGATTCCAGGTTTGGGGCAGATAAAGTATAAGGTGAGCTTGGAACATCTTGAGTCAGAAGGGAAGAAAATGCCCAAAGAGTAGCGATGGGACACAATTTGGTTTCAAGTGCCGGATTGGAGATTAACGAAAAGCAGGCTGATAATGGATGACAGTGTCTTCGTCTGTTCGGGCTGCTACTACGAAATACCACACACTAGGTGGCTTCGACAGCGTTTCTTTCTCACAGTTCTGGAGACTGGCAAGTTCAAGATCAAGCTGCTGGCAGACTTGAGACTGTCTTCCTGGTTTTCAGACAGATGCCTTATTGCTGTAGCCTCACATGGTGGAGAAAGGGGGCTCTGGTCTCTAGCACGAGCACTAATCAGGGGATCCCCCCTCACTGACCTCATCTAAACCCGATTACCTCCCAAGGGCCCCACCTCTCAATTCCGTCGCATTAGGGATTAGGGCTTCAACATTTGAACCTTCATTAGATATTTTAATTGAAAGTTATGAAGGGACATTCTGGGGGCTGCAGAATTTAAGGGTGGGGAATCATGATGTGCAACTCACATTCAAATGGTTCAGCCAACACAATGTCCCTGTATATTTACAGACAGCAAATGTAATAACTGACAAATTGAGGAAATAGCTCATTATGTATTATTGTATGATTCTTCCAGCTTTTCTGTAGGTTTGAGATTTTTCCAAATAAAATCAGGAAAAAGAATGACAGGAAGAAAAACTGACAAAAAATTGGCTAAAACAAACAGGTTAAGTTCCGTCCCTGAAACTTGTACGCAGTGTCTGGGTAAAGGTCACTGATTTCTCTACTTTTTATTCCTTTTGAAATCTTAGGCCTTGTTAGGTAAGGGTAAAACTTTTAAGTCTGTATTGTCAAGAGAGAAGTTGTACATTAATTTTATTTCTACTGTGTTTGGGGCTACAGCTATGCATCAGACCAACAGTTAGCTTGTCTGCTGTATACAGCAAATCATGAATGGGATTATGATCGCCATTGCCTTGTAGCTGAACAAAGAGTGACATAGGATGGTAACCTTTCCTAAGGCCACCATTTGGCTCCTAAACTCTACTTAATCTCTAGGCCTCTGTTCCTTGTATTTCAGGTCCCTCAGCCACCTTGGAAGCATCCCTTGTGTCTTTGCTCTTGTCATAGCCCAGCTTGAATCCATGGTTTCTACAAAGAAAGCTGAGGGTTAATTGCCTGAAGGGGAAGCTTCTCATTGCCCCAAACAAGTCAAATGCATCTGGTTGGCATTAAAGATTTGTCTTTTATGTTGTGGTTGGCCACTGAGTTTCTTCTCACTTTAAAAACAAGGTTCATGGAAAAAATACTGTTTTCATGAAGGAAGCTCTACCTTTTCAAGATGGCTTCATTGCTCACCCTGTTCATTTACTTCTCTGCAAAGCCACGTTTTTAAAAACGTCAGCATAGCCCCAACTGTGACAGACGCAAGTCTCCAAAGAGCCGGTGCCTAGTGTCCAGTCTGCAGAAAATAGGTGCCCCCTGGCAGCTACTGCCCCACTATTGGCTACTTTCTCACCATGAAGCCCCTCCAGCTGAAGGAGTTACTAGCTGCAGAGAGTTTTCTCAAGAATTCTCATGAATTTGCTCCAGCCACTCAGCTACTGGACAGGGAGTAT